AAAATAGATGCCTACTCAGAAGTCGCTGTCTGATGCACTTTATTGACAAGCATGCTTCGCGACGTGATAGAATACATTGGAAACCGATGCAGTAGGTGAGGTGGTGACATGAGGGTAGAGAATGGGAGAAAAGAAGGTGAAGTAGTGTGAAAGGTACAGGCGTAGAATAGGTAAACATGGGCCCGTAACCCGAAGTGTTCCACAACTGTCAGCCATGCATGTACTTCAAAGGCCCGACGTAGTCTTATCTAGCCCCTTTAGTTCTCATATTTCATTCTGCACTCTTTTAGGCCAACGCAATATTGCATTACTTCTCCCTGCCTCCAAACACCCCTACCTTCCATAAACTTGAGCTTCTTTTCATTCATTTCTCTCTACGTACTCACACGCACCAGCCTTTCTGTTTTATATACATGCAAATTCAGGCGAAGCGATTTGTATGTAGTCATTGGCTGAAGCGAGGAATTGAGACACTCTGTTCACATGGCAGAAGTACAGACAAAAAGGTGGTATGTAGCTCACATGCATGTGTCATGTAACAGTAATTGCCATCCGATTAGTTGGCACTCAAGTCACACTACTTAAATAAACTACAAATGTGATCCCTAGTTGCAAACGTGCAGCAATTAGAGTTGTATCTTGTACCCATACTGAGATGCAAGAGTGTACAAAAGCGCACTAGGTGATAAAGTGCCACATGGTCATGCATCTCTTTCCATCTCCTATTCATTCATTTTTGAATATAGTTTTGTGATTACGGCTTTCCTATGGAAGTGAGGCTGATACGGCCTGATTTCTGCCATTACTTCAACACAACCTCCAACAGCTCTCCAAAAGTTATCTCTAGACAAAGTTCTCTTCCGCCACCGCCTCTTATAAGTAGTAAATTTGGGAATAGGCTTATCGTGGTGCATGCTATGATTGTGGTATGGTAGAGCAGAGTTAAGAATATGATGCACATACATCTTCAGACCATTTGACACATGAGGATCAATTGCAATCAGTACGGAGGGTGAAGTGACAAGATGCATGGAAATGCATAAGCAGCGAAGCCAATGATCCGTAGCATGCAAAGACGCCTCCTGGTAGTGCTTTTCAACAACATTTCACACCACAGGCATGACTGTACCTCTCCATTGCATTGACACTAATACATTGTGGGTGCATGATTTAGTGCCCCGGTGACACCACACTCGTGTAGTAGTCAAAGGTTGTGTAATGCAGAAGAGATAGTGAAGAGAAGGAAGTGGGCCTGAGGTGGCAATAGTGTTGTTTGGTAGAATCAGGCAAGCCATCTTGTACCAACTTACGCGCCTTCGTTGCTATGGAGTGGTCCAACTCCCTAACGGAAGTGTGGTCATAGTTTTGCAGGCGCATATCAGCAAATAGTTAGAATTCTAATTTGCTCTCAGCATTCTAGTGTAAATCAATTCACTCATTCTGAATAACTACTGATAGCATCTTGGTCTTCCACTTCGTCAAAATGCCAAAACCAGTGCAATTAGAAGATTACCTGTCTAGAGACCTGCACACCTCGCACCGGATGATAGCTATATCGCAATAGGAATGGTCCACTATCTTTCCTGGTGCACTGCGCAACCTGCTATTAGGCATTTTACCCCTTCTGCAGAATCTCCACTTCTCACATCCTGTTATATACCACTTCACTATTGTGTGAAACAGCATCATCACGTCACCGACACATTGAGACTACTCCGCCAGATGGTCCTTGACCCTATGGACAGTGAACATGCATTCCATGCTCTAATCAGTACACAGTATTGACGACAGAATGAAATGCTCTTGAATTACATTGAGCCACTACCAATGCTATGCTACTTTAAAAACCAAAGGCGGATTCCCAATCACACGCGCAATCGCATTTGTTCCTCTTTAGCGTAGCATACCTTTCTATATAACTTTGTAGCCACGTGTTATAAGAGATAGCCAGTTTCAGTGGGCTGTGTGGGTTATCATCCTGCCATCTAACTCTGCCTAAGAACATGCTCAGTGGGCGGTCATCCTCGTAGATTAGCACATTGATCATGTGGCAACCGTTGCTTTGCTTCAGTGACGGTCGGCGCGAGAGGGAGATGATGCTCCACAGAAATGCAGCAATATTGGGTAGGCTAGTGGTTTAAAGATGAGGTGCCTATCAGCTACAGCTTTTATTCATGAGTTAAGCTTCGAAATAATCTGTTCCAATATGTTGACTGGTACAGCACTTAAATAGAAAGAGTAATTTTTATTGGTACTTGCATGGCAGCGTTATGAACTCTAATGCAAAGAGTAAAGTTCAAAATGCCTTGGCGTCCCCAGCAAACGACTGCGCCTGAAAGGGGCCTAATTTGAGGCTCTTCATGTTCAAGTCCTCTTCATTGGAGGAAATAGCTATCATGGCTAGCTATGAACATGCAGTCTATAAATCATACAATTTATACGCAGCTATGAAAGTACAAGCAATTGTAACAAACATGTATTTATCAACGAGTTCTTGATATTCACTTAAATGAACAGTACAAACTCTGGTGTCTAATTGGTGACAAGTGAGAAATGTGAGCTTACAGAAATAAGAGATTTAGACAATAGACAATAGATATGTGCAAAAGTGGTAAAATTCAAAATCCCAAATTAAATTAGTATAAAGTAGCCTCTTCTGTAAGCAACAGGCCCTAAAAATTATTTAAATCGCCAGGATGTTTGCAGAAACATCCACGGGGAATGCAATGCTTTTTGTTTTTGGTAGTTACTTGCTGTATTGTTTTCAGATTAGATCGTGTGGGTTCTCTGCAAAAAATAGCCATACTGTATATCTATGGCATAGTTGGATATCCAAGCTTGTGCCCTTCCACTCCTTCTACGCACTAAATTCGACTAGTTTTACATGCTAGCACCGTTTGTTAGAAACTTAGAGAAGACTTAGTGCACGGCGCCGCTTTAGTAAAAGCAACGTGCTAGATTAATTTTTATAAAGCTGTGCTAAGTTGTTTGGCACATTATACTCCTTTTGTGCTACCGAAAATTGAATCTGTCATCGACAATCGACTTTGCGGAGACGACGGAGGAACTAAAAGGACGTCTGAAGCAGTGTTCATTAGGACATCGATGACTGTAGCTGCTATAAACTAAGGGCAAAAAAACGTCTAAAGTAGTTTTCCACATGCAGAGATGTCAAGAAATCGGTGCCAGTTGTAATGAATGCTCACAGAGTACACGAATGAGGTATGCAGGGTTGGCAAAAGTCAATCCTAATGCTTGCGATTGCATTTGACAAAGGTCTTTACAGATAGCAAGCAGTATAGGGGAAGCATGGGGAGGATGTTGTGCAACAGTCCGAAGCGTTCCACAACCTTCATCCATACATGTACAAACCCATCATCCCACGCCTTCATGCCATCATATCAATAAACGCGCCAGAGTAGGTAGAGTTCCTCCTCTATATCCCAGTCTTATTTCATCCATGTCCCTCAACGTCATGCTCAGACTCTTCCTTATACGACTGGCAACAGAAATGGAGAATAGATTGCAGTGTGGAATACACATGCAAACCATATGCGGAATACATATCTAAACCTAGCAATGTAGCACGTGTTTGTGCAGATTCCGTTTAATAATTAAAATTGCAATGTCGTTTATATCAGCAAAATGAAGCTTTGGAATATAAATGGGTCTGTCACAAGCCCTTTTTACATGCTCCT